GGGGCCTCGGCAGAGCAGAGCGCAGCAGAGGGGCACAATCCCCCCTCGCCCTGCTGGCCACGCTGCTGGGGATGCAGCCCGGGGGGCGGGGGGCCTTCTGGGCTGCCAGCGCACAGTGCCGGCTCATGGTGAGCTTCTCACCCACCAACACCCCAAAGTCCTTCTCCTCAGGGCTGCTCCTAACCCATTCTCCACTCAGCCTGGAGTTGTGCTTGCCATTGCCCCGGCCAATGTGCAGCACCTTACACTTGGCCGTGTTGAACTTCATGAGGTTCACAGGGGCCCACCTCTCCAGCCTGTCCAGGTCCCTCTGGATGGCATCCCTTGCCTCCAGGGTGTCGACCGCAGCACACAGCTCCATGTCATCAGCTAACTTGCTGCGGGTGCACTCGATCCCACTGTCCATGTCGCCGACAAAGATGTTAAACAGCACTGGTCCCAGGACTGACGCCTGAGGAACGCCACTCATCAGCAGTTGCCCCTTGGACATCGAGCCGTTGACCACAACTCTTTGAGTGCAACCATCCAGCCAATGCCTTATCCACTGAGGCCTCCACCCATCAAATCCGTGTCTCTCCAATTTAGAGACAAAGATGTCCTGCAGGACAGTGTCAAACGCTTTGCAGAAGTCCAGGCAGATGATGTCAGCTGCTCTTCCCTTATCCTTGACTTAAACAGAGAAAGCAAACCAGGGAATTTCTTGCATGGATAAGTAATTGGGTACAACACAGAAAACAGGAGGATTGAGGAGTTGTTAAAACTAAGAGCTTCATTAGGCCACCACATATACCCATGATTATGTTCTAACTTAAAAAAAAAAAAAAAAAAAAAAGTCTAGCAGAAGTGCTGTGTGCCAGGACAACAGTCCAGAAGACAAATTTAGCATCTAGGACAAACTGTAGTAACCTAATTTCAGGCTTACATGGAGTTATATAACTGTTCTAGTTCAACTTGGTCATTCAAAATACTTTCTCCCAAACAAAATACTTTCTCCCAAACAAAATACCTTCTCCCAGTGAGCCTAGTTAATGCTGATGGAATGAAAGGACAGAATTATAATTATCACATTTTAGCCTGAATGTGTACAACTTGTAGAATCTTAAATTACCTGATCAGCTCTTCTATAACCTAGTAAGCTCCAGTGTGTACCAGCTACTCAGTAAATAGGTCATGCAGGAGTAAGAAAACAGGCATCTCTCTTAATCTTACTGTACTAAATTAATGACCTTTTTTAATATAGAAAATAAAAAGAAAAAAGTAAACTTAAGATATTAAAATTTTCATTTCTAATATAAAAATATATGTGTATATACACACACACTATTTTCTAGCATTTAAATTTAAGGCATCTAATACCAAAATTAAAATTAACCTCTCTCTCCTCATAAGCTGCTTTGGATGTACATTTTCTAACAAGATTCAGACATCTGCCAAAACCCTGGTCATTTTGCTATTTAAACATCAAAAGATACGCCTGTAAACAGACACAATATAGATTTTAATAATTAACATTTCTTTAATCAAAAGCTTGATTGAAGTGGAGGTAAAAGCAGCACAAACAAGTGACATTTAAGTCTTTTCTGACACAAACCAGAATCTTCAGAACTGGTTTTTTGTTAGATCTAGGGAAGAAAAGCTTTTGGATTTTCAGCTTTGATACTGAGTGTTAAATCCCATGGAGTCAACACTGCCATATAGTCACATGGCTATATTTTCTGGTTCCCTTATGTTTTAGCATGAATATTAACAAAAATTACAACAGTAAGGCTGGTGGTTTCCACACAGTATTTTGAGTAGGTAGAGCAGATAGCAAAGCAGCGTATTTCAATCTATTCGAATGACAATAGTTAG